GCAGCTCTGAGGATCATTTTACTTGTGATGTTGTGCACTTCTGGTAAGACAGCTATTGAGTTAATGATGGTTAAATGTATTATCTCTAGGGCCACTTTTCTTTGATGGGAGATGCCTGGTGTGGTGCACAAATTTTTTCACATGTTCCTAAGAAAAAAATACAGTGGACCCTCGACCAGCGATGGCATCGATTAATGATAAATCTGACTAGCGATACATTTTATCGCAAAAATTTTGCCTCGATTAGCGCTAAAAAACTCGACCAACACTATTCCTTCCGTCTGAGACGCGTCCACTTCTGGCCAGTGTTTACGAGCCAGCCAGCCACCGCGGTCGCTTCCAAGCATACAGTCGGAACATTTCATATTATCACTCCCTTTTTAGTGATTGCACCTGCAAAATAAGTCACCATGGGCCCCAAGAAAGCTTCTAGTGCCAACCCTACAGCAAAAAGAGTGAGAATTACTATGGATATGAAGAAAGAGATCATTGCTAAGTATGAAAGTGGAGTGCATGTCTCCGAGCTGGCCAGGCTGTACACAAAACCCCAATCAACCATCGCTACTATTGTGGCCAAGAAATCTGCAATCAAGGAAGCTTTTCTTGCCAAAGGTGCAACTATGTTTTCGAAACTGAGATCGCAAGTGATAGAAGATGTCGAGAGACTGTTATTGGTATGGATAAACGAAAAACAGATAGCAGGAGATAGCATCTCTCAAGCGATCATATGTGAAAAGGCTAGGAAGTTGCATGACGATTTAATTAGAAAAATGCCAGCAACTAGTGGTGATGTGAGTGAATTTAAGGCCAGCAAAGGTTGGTTTGAGAGATTTAAGAATCGTAGTGGCATACATAGTGTGATAAGGCATGGTGAGGCTGCCAGTTTGGACCAAAAAGCAGCTGAAAAATATGTGCAGGAATTCAAGGAGTACATAGACAGTGAAGGACTGAAACCTGAACAAGTGTTTAATGGTGACACTGACAATGTTATGAAACACTTCAGGAATGTCATAAAGGAACGGGAGGTACAGGCCTCTATGGGCAGATACGTTGTGCGACAGAGGTCCAGTGACTCTCAAGCTGGTCCTAGTGGCATTAAAAGAAGGGAAGTAACCCCGAAAAAGGACTTGCCACCTCTAAGTCCTAATGGAAGGGGATTCCCCTTCTAAACACTAAGACCATCAACACACTCCCCTCTTCCCATCCCATCAATCATCACCAGATCTTCAATAAAGGTAAGTGTCATGTAACTGTGCATGTCTTCTTCAGTTAGTGTGTATTAAAATTAATATTTCATGTGTTAAATTTTTTTTTTTTCAATACTTTTGGGTGTCTTGCATGGATTAATTTGATTTCCATTATTTCTTATGGGGAAAATTAACTTGACTAACGATTATTTTGACTAACGATGAGCTCTCAGGAACGGATTAATAGCGTTAGTCGAGGGTCTACTGTATATTCAAATACTTTTAGGGTCATTAAGGGTATTAATTTTTTTTTTTGAATTGTTCAAGTTAGCCTAAAACAGCTTTGCTACTTTTGTTACAAAAGCGCTAAAATTTTTTCATATTTTTGTCAGTCTTTTCTCAGTTTGACCTTGTGGGTGGGTGACTTATAAATAAAACTTTGAACATTAGAAATAATGTGGATGCACCTCACTGAAGCTTTAAATCTAGTCATAAAAGAATGTGTCAGGTATCAAGAGATGTAAGAGTATTGCTTTTATCCCCCTACCCAACTATGTCTTCCAACATTCGGATCCAGTTCACGTTCACCCTCTTGAAAATGATCCCTTCCAGGATTTCTTTAGTATGTTAATTTGTGTTTCTGTAATACCTGTTAATGCCTAGCCTAGCATCCTCTTTATGCCTTCCATCTTTCTCCTCCCTCCCCCTATTATGATAGCAGAAACATGGTATGTACATGTAACCAAGCATGGCACTAAGAAGAGAACAAGATCAAGCTAAGATGGAAGTAATGAGCAGCTTCCAGCTAAACATGCAAGAAAATTTGTGGAGTTTAAGAGGCAGAGCCAGGAGCTAAGAATCAACCTCTGTAACTACAGCTAGGTGAGTACAGTACATAACACACCACCTGTTGTATTTTTGAAGCATATAATCCTACTAAGAGTTCAGTACAATAATCTTCATAATGATTTGTAATATTCCCAGCCATTTTAGGTACTGTAAGTACACACAGGAGTCACTAATGACATAATAAGGCTGTTTTGCTCCCCAGGAACCCCCATTTCCCCAGGAATAGTATGACCTGTAATGGTTTAGTGCTTCCCCTATGAGTGTGATAATTCACAAAGCCCCTGGTGACAAAAAGTTACCTATAATAAATATCTTGTGTTCATTTACTTCACAGCTGTGTATTAATTGTTGGAAGTAGGCATTAACAGTATTGAATATTCAGAATAAATGTGAGAAATGTATTATGTATTCTAAATGAATATTGATGCTTTCAGATGCTGTCTCTCCTGATGTCCACTGATTTAAGTTGAGTTCTTGGCAACACTTGTTAAAGAATTGTATACGTATGTGAGTTTGGGGAGTGTGAAGCTGCAGCTTTTTGTGCCAAGAAAGTTACGAGATAAATTTGTGTAGTTGGAATAAACATTTTTTTTTTTTTTTTTATTATCACACCGGCCGATTCCCACCAAGGCAGGGTGGCCCGAAAAAGAAAAACTTTCACCATCATTCACTCCATCACTGTCTTGCCAGAAGGGTGCTTTACACTACAGTTTTTAAACTGCAACATTAACACCCCTCCTTCAGAGTGCAGGCACTGTACTTCCCATCTCCAGAACTCAAGTCCGGCCTGCCGGTTTCCCTGAATCCCTTCATAAATGTTACTTTGCTCACACTCCAACAGCACGTCAAGTATTAAAAACCATTTGTCTCCATTCACTCCTATCAAACACGCTCACGCATGCCTGCTGGAAGTCCAAGCCCCTCGCACACAAAACCTCCTTTACCCCCTCCCTCCAACCCTTCCTAGGCCGACCCCTACCCCGCCTTCCTTCCACTACAGACTGATATACAAGAAAAAAAGGTGAGTTAAAACAAGTAAAGATAATGTAAGTGGAAATTTTGAAGAATAGTTGAATTAGTGTATTTGAGAAGTGCACAGTATATAGTGAAACTCCTCAAGTTGGTGCATCAATGTACACTCGTTGAGATACTGTTCATAATTAATTTTTTATGTTAGAGCTCAATCAACTGAGTTACTGTGCGTTTTTCTGGTAAGCAATTTTCATTTGACCTTGTAAATATGGCTGTGTTGCCTAGTGCTGATGAAGAGCTCTTGATTCAGGGAATTTAATCAAATCTACTTCATTGGCTCAAACTTGATTGCCTTCCATTTCCCAGACATTGTATGATCCCTGCAGTTTTAGCTCCCATATTTTTTTTTCTTTTAAACTTGACAGCCATGTCCCGCCAAGGCAGGGCAACTTGAAGACAACACATTCGGCAGCGTTCACTCAGTCATCGTCTTTCCAGAAGAGTTGACATCACAGTCAGATTACCCTCAGACTTCAGCACCCCCACCCCTCCTTCAGAGTGCAGACACTGCCCCTGCCACCTCCACCCCTCCTGCAGAGTGCAGGCACTGCCCCAGCCACCTCCACCCCTCCTGCAGAGTGCAGGCACTGCCCCAGCCACCTCCACCCCTCCTGCAGAGTGCAGGCACTGCCCCTGCCACCTCTACCCCTCCTTCAGAGTGCAGACACTGCCCCTGCCACCTCCACCCCTCCTGCAGAGTGCAGGCACTGCCCCTGCCACCTCTACCCCTCCTTCAGAGTGCAGACACTGCCCCTGCCACCTCCACCCCTCCTGCAGAGTGCAGGCACTGCCCCTGCCACCTCCACCCCTCCTTCAGAGTGCAGACACTGCCCCTGCCACCTCCACCCCTCCTTCAGAGTGCAGACACTGCCCCTGCCACCTCCACCCCTCCTTCAGAGTGCAGACACTGCCCCTGCCACCTCTACCCCTCCTTCAGAGTGCAGACACTGCCCCTGCCACCTCCACCCCTCCTGCAGAGTGCAGGCACTGCCCCTGCCACCTCTACCCCTCCTTCAGAGTGCAGACACTGCCCCTGCCACCTCCACCCCTCCTGCAGAGTGCAGGCACTGCCCCTGCCACCTCTACCCCTCCTTCAGAGTGCAGACACTGCCCCTGCCACCTCCACCCCTCCTGCAGAGTGCAGGCACTGCCCCTGCCACCTCCACCCCTCCTTCAGAGTGCAGACACTGCCCCTGCCACCTCCACCCCTCCTGCAGAGTGCAGGCACTGCCCCTGCCACCTCTACCCCTCCTTCAGAGTGCAGACACTGCCCCTGCCACCTCCACCCCTCCTGCAGAGTGCAGGCACTGCCCCAGCCACCTCTACCCCTCCTGCAGAGTCCCACCTTCAGGACTTGTCTGGCTAACTGGTTTTCCTTAAATCCCTTCATAAGTTGCCCTGCTCACAGTACAACAGGGCATCCAATAAAAAGTACATGTCTCCAGTCATGCCTATCTAGCATGATAAGACAAACCTGGTGGAGATTCAAGCCTCAAAGGCTCTTATACCCCCTCCTTCAGACCCTTCCTGGGATGACCCCTTCACCTCTCTCCACCCTCATGTCCAAACCCCTACAACCCCTCCTCAGCCTTCTGAATTATAGCCTTGACCACTCCACATCACCTTTTAATTTCCATGTTTTAAATTGTGTGTGTGATATTCACACCATATTGCTCTCAAATATGACATCTCTACTACCTATAGTCTTCTTTTTTTCAGCAGCTTTCAAAACATAATCCTCTTCAAGGGGGGCTCCTTGGCGTGGTGAAGAGGCTCTTGGTCTGAGGAATTAGACCTGTCGGTCTACTTCCTCAGACCGAACCTAATTACCCCCCAATCCCCCGTTCCCTATCCCATCCTCCCCTTTTTCCTTTCCTCCTCCTCCTCCCCACCCCTCCCTTTTGCCCTTCCTTTTTGGCCTTTTTTTTTTTTTTTTTCTTTTTTTTTTTTTTTTTTTCCCACAGGCATGCTAGTTCCTAGGTAGGGGAAAGGGTACCGGGGTCCATCCCATTCCGTTGAGGTTCTTGGCGGTGGCGTAGTTTGCCGTGGAATCTGGATTGCCTGGGGATGTCCTGATCCCTCTCCGGTATCCCGGAGGGTGGCTTTGGGTGTCTCTCGGGCGACGGGTATATCTCTGGAAGCCACCTTTCGGATTCCGGGGGTGGTGGCCGAAGGAGGTATGCTTTGTGGTGGATTTCCGGCCGCCCTCTCTTTTGTCCACCGAGGTAGCTCGGCAGATGTGAGGATGCTATGCCGGATTGCCGGTTTACTGGCATGATGGGTAGGGTATGGCACGGGTTCCATGCTGCATCTGCGCTACTTGCGGTGCTGAGGTCCTCTTGGGCGCGGAGGGAGATTTCTGGCCCTTTCATTCCTCCTAGGAACTATCCCTCCCCGGTCCCCCCTTTTTTTATTCTTTTTTTATTTTTCTTTTCTTTTCTTTCTTTTTTTTTCTTAAAAACAAAAAGAAAGAAGTAACCTAATCATGGCAGCCCTAGTCCATGAACCTGCTACCCCCGGGCCCCTTCTTGATACCGCACCCCGTTCTGACCCCGCCTCGTCTTTGGACCACTCTTCGGACACTCCTCATGCCTCTGTACCTCTTGCCGGTGCTGTTTCCTCACCCGCTTCAGGTACTGAGGCCTTGACTGACTCCTTCGATTTATCTGACCTTCGCTCTCCTCTGACTATGCTTCCGGCCTCTCCCTCTACGGTGCGGCAATTTTCGAATCGCCGGCCCGTTCCACGTCGGACCAACTCTGGTCCCACGCCTAAACGACAACGACAATTACCTGCTGATGATACTTCTCCACCTTCTCGTTCTTCTCAGAAAAGATCGATACGTCCTTCACTACCTTTCCACGCTCAGTTTCAGACTGCACAATGGACTAAATTCTTCACTTTACGACCGACTTCCTCTACTGCCTATCTTTCTGACCACAGTATTGGCAAGGCACTCCTACGCCATGTTGGTAAAGATATTTCTTTTCATGCTCTTAAGAGCGGTACGCGCATCGTCACCGTACAGAATGCTACCCAGGCTCATGAGCTTTCTCGTCTTTCCCATATCGATACTGTTCCTGTAACTATTGAAAAGCATCATTCCCTCAATTCTTGTAGTGGTACCATCATTCTGCCCCATACCATAGTTCAACAAAATTTCCAGACATGTGGCACTGACATTCTTGAACAGCTGGAACTCCAAGATCTCCCAATCCTCAAGGTAGACACTTACGTTCTTCCTGCCCGCGGGCGGAGACGATACCCTAGCAATGTGGCTCGTTTAACTTTTGACAGCCGTGAACTCCCATCCTCAGTTTATGTAGCAGGACATCGATTACAAGTTCGAAAGGTGATCCCTACACCGCAACAGTGTAGAAATTGCTGCCGATTTGGCCATCCAGCGAAATATTGCAGATCTATCTCCGAATGCCCAGTCTGTGGTGCTGATGACCATTCTAATACGTCTTGCATTCGACCTCCCTCTTGCCTTAATTGTCATGAGGCTCACCCTTCGTACTCTCGCCGTTGTCAAGTCTACTTAAATGAGCGGGAAATCCGTTACCTCAAAGAGGCAGAAGGTCTCCCTTATGCCATGGCAGTTTCTCATCTCCGCCTCCAAGGGAGACTACCTCGTGTTTCTTATTCCCGTGTTTCAAAACGTCCCCCCACTTCTGGTATCCCATCTTCTGCACCCACCTCTGTGGTTACCTCTCCTATAGTCACTCATGTAACTAATTCTTTTGCTGTCCTCGGCTCAGACGTCCCTACTTCAACGTCTCAGTCTGATCTTGCTTCTTTGTGTTCTCTCTCACAAGCCTCAGTAGCGACGAGATCTCGTATGACACCTCCTCCCAATCGTCCCTCTACTTCTCAAAAGTCAAAAAAAGGTCCGCTAACACCTCCTACCCATCTTCCACTTCCTCATTTTCCCTTCCTTGTCTCTGTACCTGGTTCTCCCCCTCTCACTGGCTCTGTTACAAGTGTAGAGGTTCACCCTCCTCCTCGTACTGTACCTTCCTCCCCTGTTCCCTCCCAAGTTTCTTCCTCTTCTGCCACCTCCCAGGTTTCTGCCTCTTCTGTCCCCTTCCACGCTTCTCCAGTTCCCCCCACCCTACCGTCCCCCCCTACCTTGGTACAGTCCATTACAGTTCCAATCTTCACTCATCCTCCCCTACCATTTCCAATATTGTCTCCCATATGACGTCTCTGAATTCTGAAACACTTGAAGCAATCTCTGAATATATTGCAGAGACCAAACCATCAATGGACACTGATCCACCCTCCGCTCCTTCTCTCTCCTCTACTCCATCTGTGCAACTCCTTCACAGCGCACAGTTCCTTCGCTGCTTGAACGTTTTCCACTGCCTCCGCATGTGGACTTTTCTAACCCCTCTAGTCCGTAGGAACCCTTACCTGCGGATTTCAGGTATCTTTATTATTGCCAATCATGGCCTATTTACAGTGGAATATACGCGGCCTAAGGGGTAATCGGGGTGAGCTTCAGATGTTACTCTCCCAGTTTTTCCCTGTTGGTGTTTGCTTACAGGAACCAAAATTACACTCTGCTGTTATCTCTCCCATCTCAGGCTATAATTTATTGTATTCTTCAGATCCTTTTCCTGATGGGACCTTTAATGAAAGTGCCCTTCTTCTACGCACTGATATTCCGTACCATCAGCTATTTGTTCGTACTTTGCTGCATTACACAGCAGCCCGTATCCACTTGCATAGGTGGTATACGCTCTGTTCTTTATATCTCTCTCCTTCTCGGGCATTATCTATTCCGGATATTGCCTTTCTTGTTTCGTCATTACCACCACCGATTCTGTTACTTGGTGATTTTAATGCCCACCATTTCCTCTGGGGGGGGTGGGGTCTCACTGTGATTCCCGTGGCATTCAGTTAGAGGCTTTTCTTGCCACCCACCCCCTCCATGTTTTAAATACAGGTACTCACACCCATTTTGATCCTAGGACTCACACTCTCTCTTGCATTGAACTCTCAGTCTGCTCTTCCTCCGCCGCATTAGACTTCACTTGGTCTGTTCTTCCGGACTTACATGACAGCGATCATTTCCCAATCATTCTTACTTCCCCTTCATATTCACCACCTCTTCGCATCCCACGCTGGCAATTTGATCAGGCAAATTGGAACCTTTATTCACACCTAACTGTTTTTAGAGAGGTTCCTTCTTCGTCCTCCATCGATGAGCTTTTACACCTCTTCTCGTCCTCCGTTTTAACCGCAGCTTCTCATTCTATACCCCAAACTTCGAGCAGGCATTCTCAGAAATGCGTGCCTTGGTGGTCTCCTGCTTGTGCTCGTGCAGTACATTTGAAACGCGCTGCATGGGGCAGGTACCGGTACAATAGAACCACAGAGAGACTTCTTGAATTTAAGCAGAAGCGTGCGATCGCTCGCCGTGTCATCCGTGACGCTAAACGCACTTGCTGGCGAGATTGTCTCCGCCATCACCTCTGCTTCCTCTATGAGTGCAGTCTGGAAAAAAGTACGAAAACTGAGTGGTAAATATTCTCCTGACCCGGCTCCTGTTCTGCGGGTTGCCGGTGTTGATATAGCAAACCCACTAGATGTTGCCAATGAAATTGGCAATCATCTGGTCCACATTTCTCAGGGACTCCATCTATGCCCCTCATTTCTTTCCTCAAAGTCTGCCAGAGAGTTAGCACCCTTGGACTTTTCTTCTCTCAGAGAAGAACAGTATAATGTGCCTTTTACACTTCAAGAACTGGAGGCAACACTCTCAGCTTGCCGATCATCGGCAGCTGGGCCCGACGACATTCATATTCGTATGCTACAACATTTACATCAGTCAGCCCTTGAAGTCCTATTACGCCTTTACAATCTTATTTGGTCACAAGGAGTTCTTCCACAGCTGTGGAAATTCGCCATTGTTCTCCCTTTCCGCAAACCAGGCACTACGGGACATGAAACCTCCCACTATCGTCCCATTGCTCTTACCAGTGCAGTTTGCCTAGTAAATAGACGTTTAATGTGGTATTTAGAGACACACAACAGTCTCTCCACTCGTCAATATGGCTTTCGTAAGGGACGTTCTACCATAGACCCCTTACTACGCTTGGATACGTATGTTCGTAATGCCTTTGCGAATAACCACTCGGTTATTGCCATATTTTTTGACCTTGAGAAGGCATATGACACAACTTGGAGGTATAATATTTTAGCCCAAGCCCACTCCTTAGGCCTTCGAGGCAATCTACCATCCTTCCTTAAGAACTTTTTAACTGACAGGCATTTCCGTGTTCGGGTTAATAATGTGCTCTCCCCAGACTTTATCCAAGCTGAAGGTGTCCCCCAGGGATGTGTTCTGAGCACAACACTTTTTCTCCTTGCTATTAATGATTTGGCCTCTAGTCTTCCATCAAATATTTGGTCATCACTCTATGTTGATGACTTGACTATTGCCTGTGCAGGCGCTGACTGTCACCTTATTACAGTTTCTTCAGCATGCAGTCGACCGTGTTTCCAATTGGGCCACCACACGTGGGTTTAAATTTTCCAGCACTAAAACCCACCAAATTACTTTCACTAGACGCTCTGTCATCTCCGATCATCCTTTGTACCTCTATGGCTCCCGTATCCCTGAACGTGATAGTCAAGTTTCTGGGCCTCCTCTTTGATCGTAGGTTATCCTGGAAACCTCACATTACCTCTGAAGGCAACTTGCCACAGCCGGCTGAACCTCCTTAAAACCCTTGCTCATCTTTCATGGGGAGCTGATCGTCAAACCCTCCTTCGCCTACATTCCACCCTTATCTTATCGAAACTTGATTATGGTGACCAGATATATTCAGCGGCATCTCCTGCTACTCTCTCTAGCCTTAACCCCATTCATCACCAAGGATTACATTTATGCCTTGGTGCTTTTCGCTCTTCCCCTGTCGAGAGCCTCTATGCAGAAGCGAATGTTCCATCCTTATCCGATCGCCGTGATGCCCATTGCCTTCGCTACTATGTACGCTCTCATGATCTCCGCAATCCTTCCATCCATTTATAGAATGGTCACTGATATTAGTAGACATTCTTTATTTGTTCGCCGCCCGTTTACTCCGTCCCTTCTCTCTTCGCCTTCATTCGCTCTTGTCTTCTCTTCAATTACCACCTTTCTATGTACATGTAGCATCTCACTTGTCCCTACCCCCCTAGGAAGTTCCAGCTGTTTGAGTCTGTTCTTTCTCTCTCCCTTGCTCGAAAGCCCAACTGTCTATGGTCGCTTCCCGCTCTCATTTTCTTGACCACTTTCACTCTCATTCTCATGCCATTGCTGTGTACACAGATGGCTCTAAGTCTTCTGACGACGTAGGATTCACAGGAGTGTTTCCGGACAGCGTCATACAAGGGCATTTACTATCTTCGGCTAGTATTTTTACTGCTGAATTTTATGCCATCCTTACAGCACTTATCCGTATTGCATCTATGCCTGTGTCATCATTTGTGGTTGTCTCAGACTCCCTTAGTGCTTTACAGGCTATACAGAAATTTGATACACCTCACCCCATAGTCCTCCGTATCCAACTTTGGCTACGCATAAAGATATTGTGTTTTGTTGGGTCCCTGGTCATGTTGACGTACAGGGCAATGAACAGGCAGACACTGCTGCACGGTCAGCAGTACATGACCTACCAGTTTCATGTAGAGGTATTCCATTTACGGACTATTTTGCTGCAATATCTTCCCAACTTCACACCCGCTGGCAACAACGTTGGTTTACTATGCTCGGCAACAAACTTCAATCTATTAAACCGAGTATAGGTTACTGGCCGTCTTCTTATCACCAATGTCGAGGTTGGGAGACTACTCTCTCCCGTCTTCGCATTGGCCATACTCGTCTTACTCATGGATATCTCATGGAGAGGCGCTCTGCTCCTCTCTGTGAGAATTGCCAAGTTCCATTATCAGTCAGCCACATTCTGTTGGACTGCCCACTTTATCAACGAGCACGCAGAATTTACCTCCGTCGTCGTCTTTGCTCTGCTGCTCTCTCTTTACCTTCCCTTCTTGCTGATGGACCCACCTTTCATCCAGACTCTCTCATTGACTTTTTGACAACAACTGACTGACTTCACAAATTCTGATACCTTCAGCCCTTTCTACTTCAATCTCTTGCTACCCTCTACCCCCGTACTATCCCCTGCCCCGCTGTTTTCTGTAACCTACTGATTATCCCTCCTCCCTTCTGCCATCCAATACCCTCGCTTCCTTCCCTACCCTGCAGCGCTGTATGTGGCTTAGCGCTTCTTTTTGATTATAATAATAATAATCAAAACATAATAAAAATAAATAGTAAAACTGCGTTGAAGCTATTTAAATATATTTGATTCACTTTTTTTTTTTTATGAATATCATGGTAAATGACTTTCTTGTACTATTGTACATCTACCATAAACAAAAGGGGATTAGTTTGCCTATTTAATGGTTACCATATTTGCAGCTTGTCTAAAGGTGTGGGATGCAGTCTTTTTGAAACAGTTGTATAATGTATCATCCAGACAACGCTTTCATTCCTGGCCAGGCGCTACCACCAGTTTCTTCACTGCAGTACCATTGTAAGAATTGTCAGACTGTGTATCTTTTTTGTTGCCCCAGTCATTGAAAAATGTGCACTCTTCATTTTCAATCGCTTGCTGACAAAGGCATTCTTTGAGCCATCTTTCTTTTCTACCTTTAAGCCAAATTTTTTTTAACTGATTTACTAAATTAACTTCAATCATTTTCCCTTGTGCTCGCTCTACTTTTTTATATTTCGTTATGTATTTCTTTTCAATGCTGAATGCCCCACATGGGTTTAGTGCTTTTCCTGAATACTTAAAATAATTCTCTGTAAAAATCGTTAATGTACATAAAATCTGTGCTTAACACAATGGTACAGCTAATTTTGGGATGGTCTTACATTTATGGTTTAGGTCTGTAATTGACAATAAATGCCCATTTCTGTTTTGTATTGTTAGTAAATAAAAGTGTGGTTTTGTATAAATGAGTGAGTATTGTCAGAATTACATTTAAATGCATTATTTTGAGATTTTTTTAAATAAATTACTGTATTTAGTTGTATATGCTGACATACAGCAAGTCATCTAACAGTCTGCTTGTTGTTTGGTTGATTCCCGGTGTTTTGTCCATGGTGATAACCTTTTATCGTCTCTAAAGTTGTGACATTTGAAAATGAAACCTCTTATTCATGATTAGGTTTTTATTAATACTTGAAAACTAGGCAAACTGTAGTTACTGTTTGGAAAAAATCATAATTTAGGAAATCAGTATTATTAAAATAGCCATTGAATTGTAACCTACCTATATTTTGATATAGTTTGCTCTAACATTCTCAATGATAGGATTGGTATTGTTTTCATTTTTAAGTTATCAGACTGGTGATGTTTCAGATACTTCATGATGGTCAACTTCAGCATGTAGAAACAAGAAGTCTCACGAATGTGTGTCCAGGAGACAGGCTTGAGGATGCTAAGGATTACTTCAGACAATATTGAATATTGAGCCAACAACTGGATTTTGACATTCTTTTCGGTATTTTGAAATCAAAGTCAATCTTGGCAGCCACTGTTAACCCTTAAATGGTCCAAACAAATCAACGTTCAAATTCGTAATGCTACAAAAGTAGATCTACTTTTTTTTACACATTTTCAAATGTAAAACAAAAAAGAAGATCTACATTTTTTTACATACTTTCAGATGTTGAAAAAACGTATGTATACGTTTGGACCATTTAAGGGTTAATAGTCTTATGAATTCATCTTTACAGCAAGCTTTTCAGCCAGCTTTTCAACATTTACTACAGATGGCTCAAGAGTTAAAGAATAATGTGTCTGGAATGCATTTAGGAAGTCTTGTGATACTTCATCCAAGCCTCGTCAGCAAGTGTTGGAAATAAAGTGTAATATCAAAAGCATTTTCTTTCATGTACTTAGTGCAGAGAACATGTACAGGTTTTTGTCTTTCTGTAAACAGAGACTCCTCTTTATTTGGTTCCCTTGCCATTGCTATGGCAAGGGGTTACTAATCCGAGGAACTGGACCTCATATTCCCTTGGATGGTCTAAATGTCTTAACTTCCATTTGGTCTTGTTAGTGGGGAAATGCACCCTTTTTGTCAAATCCAGCTCCTAGACAAGGAAAAAGATTACTGTCAACTCATTTAACATAGCTTCCGTTGGTAGAGCAGTAGAAATTGGATAATCTTACAGCATATCAGGTGACCCACCGGTAAGGCAGAGGCCATCTAGTAGGCTCTTAGATGACAAATACTGCTGGAGATTCCCTGCAGATCCAGGAGTGGCAACTAAAGTTGCATGACCCCTGGCAGTCTTGCTAGTTTGCCACAGTTAGTTCTTGTATGATTAGGGAACTTTTATGCCTTGCCTAGTTCTGGAATTGCCATCCAATAGGGTAAGAGGTAGTTGTCAGGGAACAGTGACAACAGTGCCAGTCAGTGGAGGTGACTGAGATTCATGGTGGGTATGTGATTTTATTTAGTCTGACCTGCCTCCTTCATCCCCTCATTTTTGTATCTTTTAAATGAGACATGTTCACTCTTGGATCCCAAGTAAATGCTACACAGTCATGGACCATTCCATAGATTTTTGAATTGCTTCCGGGCAATCCCTTGTTGCTCAAATCCAGTTATCCTTGTGCCAAAAGGTAGAGTGGCTCAGTTGTTTGCCAAGAGAGAGTGACAGACAAGTGATGACACTGACAGTGATTGCACACAGTCTGGTAATGTCCCACAGAGGAGTCCCATTCCAGACTAAAGTATTTTCCAAGACTTCTAGAGATTGAAATCACTGGCAACAGCTCTGGTCTGATTTTGGAGGACATTATTTTCCATCAAACTGCAGTTGGGCTCCTGGACATCTTCCAATTGCTGTCAGATGTGGGGAAACCTTGTTTGTATGTTTAGGAATTGGCTACATGTTTTATGGTCACATACCACATGGAAAGATGCCCGATACATCTCTGTGAAGACTTGCGCAACTCAAACTGCTCATCCGATGAAGAATTGATGATGGCTTCATCACCCCAAGTAAAATTCTTAGTAATCCCACTCGAATCAGTAGCAAGTCTAGGGAACCCCTGGTCTATTATATAGTGCCATTATGTTCAGTCACAATGTAGCTTCAGTTTAGTGTCAAAACCAACATATACAAAACTAACTGAAGAGTGTTGAAATGTCTGTTGATGGATAATTAAAAATCCTGTTAAACCTAAATCACGTGTACAGGACTTGGGACTAAAAGTAATTGAATACTTTAATAGATGTAAAATTCAAGTATCGTGTAGTATGTATTGAATCTTAACTCCCTCTAAGATGTATCATGTACATCATGGTGCAAAATGTGAAGTACAGTACAGTGGACCCCTGGTTAACGATATCTTTTCACTCCAGAAGTATGTTCAGGTGCCAGTACTGACCGAATTTGTTTCCATAAGGAATATTGTGAAGTAGATTAGTCCATTTCAGACCCCCAAACATACACGTACAAACGCACTTACATAAATACACTTACATAATTGGTCGCATTCGGAGGTGATCGTTATGCGGGGGTCCACTGTATTTGCATATGAAATTACGTGAATCATTAGTTACAATATTATTCAATGAATTAGTCAAAAGTTTTGAGTCACAGTACACTGTTGGACCGGGGTTGACAACTGAGCTACTGTCCTAGTGTGTAAACCAGTGAAGACTGTTTGCAAAGAATGTTGACCTGTACTGTGTTTGACAGGTTTGTTAAAGCTTGTTTCACAATGTTCAGATTTGCTGGTAACAGTAAAGATTTTATATTTAAAAGATGGTTTTCACTTTCCTTAAATATATTTTTGTTCTTTATAATGGGGGCAATGTGCCATGTGATGGGCAATTGCCCCACCAGCTTAAAAGTAGCCATTATCTGAGTATTTTCCAAAATACCTACTTCAGTGGTCTCTTGAGTTACAATGGGCTGGAGTTGACAATTTGGAGTTACAATTTACCCTCATAGAGGAATTTTGTTCAGTCATGAAAACTGGAGATGCGATATACATACAATGGTAAGACTAGTGGGTTGCATCCTCAGGAACAAGTTACCTGAAATTCTCTGCATAATCAGAGACTATATACAGTAGTATGCCAGTGATGTCAGCTAGATCTTTAATAGTTGTATTATGCACCTGTAGACATTATTATTAAACTATTGTATTCTGAGCACCTCTGCAAAAACATTGATTATGTGTGAGTGAGGTGAAGGTGTTGAATGATGAAAGTATTTTCTTTTTGGGGACTTTCTTTTCGGGTCACCCTGCCTTGGTGGGAGATGGCCAACTTGTTAAAAAAAAATGTCTGGCAACACGGCTGGGTGCACGCACGTCTCCCATGTCAGAGTTCACAGGCTTGAACCTAAAGCATTGACCCACGTTATTATTATTTGCTCTTCAGTTTGAAGGTATCATGGCTGTTTTCCACACTAAATATCTCTGGATTATTTACCCTTCATAATTGCATACCAAATAATATATTTACTACAAGTACATGTACGTGGTATACAGGCCTAGCTGACATCACTGACATACTATATAGAAAGCCCTTTGTTATGCAGAGCATTCTGAGCAAATTAGGTCAGTTTTGTCCCATGATGCCTCCCAAACCAGTCGACTAACTCCCGGGTACCCATTTTACTAATGGGTGAGCAGGGACAACAGGTGTCTTATGGAAACATGTCCCTAATGTTTTCCAGCCATATCAGAGGAGATTTGAACTCCGGCCCTCAATGTGTATAATTACACTATATTCTGAGTTACCAAGTTGTCATGGCCCATAGTGTAAAGTAAACAGGCCATTCCTCTGAAGATCCAGCAAGAAAATAGTGCACTGATGTGTATGTCTCCTCAATCAACCATCTTTGCTGATGTCAAACAAATAGAAATAAAGAATAATAAAGTGGCTGACGAATCTTAAGCTTATGGAAAAAAGACAGAAATTATCATACAGATTGTGGATAATGAGAAGTGGATGAAGGGAGATGGTGTCTGCAAGTTAGTACGTGATCATCCATGTCCAAGTTACAGTAAAAGTTGTACTTCCAGGATCTTGGAACAAATTCCCATAAAATGATAGATATGTGAAGACGATGTAATCAGTCCATCACCCTTGAAGTCGCCTACTTTCTGTATTCGGAATAAAGTTGCCTATGTGTCTTACCTACCAACCTGTCGGTATTGTATACCATTTTTGATGTTCATAAAATGATGTACATATTTTGGGGGTTTGAGTTAGTATTTTGGTGGGATGATAAATCTTCTGGAACAGATTAAGATCATAACTCGAGGGATGACTGTAATTGCAAAAATATATACAGTGGACCCCTGGTTATCGGCCGTAATCCGTTCCAGAAGGTCAGCTGATGACCTAAATGGCCGAAAACCGAATTAATATTTCCCATGAGAATTAATGGAAATACAATGAATCTGTTCCAGACAAATATTCACAAAAAAAAAAAAAAAAATTTTTTTAACAAGTATTACATACCTTTATTGAAGGCTAATGCTGGCTTCTGGAAGATAAGGAAGAGGAAAGAGGGAGGAGTTAGTGGTTTGGAAGGGGAATCATCCTCCTTAAAGACTTGGGTAGCAAAGCCTTCTCTGGGGTTACTTCCCTTCTCTGTCTTTTATTGCCACTAGGACCAGCTTGAGAGTCATTGGACTCCTGTCTCACAAAATAAATGTCCAGAGTGCTCTGTTTCTGGCATCTCAAAGATTTCCCTGAAGTGGGACAGGGTTTTGTCACTGAACATGTTAGATATGGCTTGTTTCAGGCTTGTCAGGGTGGTGTTTCTCTACAAAAGCTTGCACCCTGGTCCACATTGCCTCACCATGCCTTACAACACTGTGTATGCCACTATGCTTTTTAAATCTATCAAACCATCCTTTGCTGGCCATAAATTCACAAACTGCAGCACTTGTTCCAGGCATTTTCTTTGCAAGATCCTCATGTAACTGCCTTGCCTTCTCACAAATAGTAGACTCCACTACACTGTCTCCCACTAATTCTTTTTCCTTAATCCACAATAATAATAACTTTTCCATCTCTTCCATTATCGGTGTCCTTTGTTTAGGTAGAAAAGTTACTCCTTTTGCAACATTAGCATCTCTGATTTGTTCTTTCTTTGCCAGGATGGATGTAATTGTTGATTTATTCTTGCTGTACATCCTGGCAAGTTCCATCACCTTCATACCACTCTCAAACTTTTCAATCACTTCACACTTAAATTCCATGGTGTTTCTCACTTTCTTTACCACAGGAGCTTTACTAGGAACTTTCTTTGGAGTCATGGTTACTTATTTCACAGTTGCACTGCAAAAAAAAAAAAACTACTAAAAAAATGCAAAACAAGAGAAATGTTTGGATGTATGAGCAGAAGCTTCCTCAGCCACTGAGAGAGAAAGCCAAACTGACGTGTAAGAGGCCCCAGTCGGCGGAAGGACGCGTCCCAAATGGCCGATAACTGAATTAACGGCCGATAACCGAATTGGCCGATAACAGAACCGGCCGATCACCGGGGGTCCACTGTATATATTTGAAATATTCAATGTTTACCCTAAATGGGCACTTTTAGATTGGTAGGGCTGTATGACCCTTGTGGGTTTAGCGCTTAGTTTTGATTGTAATAATAGGCTGGTGGCACAATTACCCCATTAAACAGGTTATATATATTACACTATGACTTCATGATTTTGCATTTATATTGACTCTTCATGTCTGTGCCTCCTGGTGTAAGCACCATTTATCATGCTGCGCTGCTTGACCTTGTGGGTTTAGCGCTTAGTTTTGATTATAATTTATTCTGGAAACATTTTAATCAGCCAGTGGCTTCTTCAGTCCAATGGAGAGTAAGGTGGAAGATGAGGAGTTTGAGGCAATCTGTCCCCTCAGTCTGGAGTCGATGTGTTCAGTCCACACTGTATGACACATGGGTTTAGTGCTCCCCATGAACATAACAGTTGGTGTATGATGCAGCTGACTAATGGTCAAAAAGACATGTCGACCAACCTGACCAGCGACCATAACACTGGCCAAAAGGTCACCTCACCTACAGTGGATGGAATCCTCAGTTTCAGCACCTTACTCCTACACTTTTCAATACTAATATACATATATGTAATATAAATTAGACAGCCATCCACCAAGGCAGAGTGACAAACATTCACTTTCCAGAGCTCAGTGTTGTATGACCCTTGTGGGTTTAGTGCTTGGTTTTGATTATAATCTTTCCAGAGGTTTTGTGCTGACATCATCAGACTGTCTTTGACAGTATTACAATCCAGGTACTCAGAGGCCTGTTATCCTGGGTGTAAAGGGAGCAAAATAAACACAGCAGAAAAACTTTGACTTACATTATCCATCAAGTACAGTGGACCCCTGCCTTATGATGTTAATCCGTTCCCGAGAGCTCATCTTAAGCCGAAATTATCGTTAGCCGAATTAATTTTCCCCATAAGAAATAATGGAAATCAAATTAATCCGTTCCTGACACCCCCAATGTATGAATTTTTTTTTTTTTACCACGTGAAATATTAATTTTAATATGCACAAACTGAAGAAGACATGCACAATTACTACTCTACTAAGAATAGAATACATGACACTTAACTTTATTGAAGATCTGGTGATGATTGATGGGATGGGAGGAGGGGAGAGTGTGGACGTTATTGTTTAGAAGGGGAACTCCCTTCCATTAGGACTTGAGGTAGTAAGTTCTTTTCCGGGGTTACTTCCCTTCTTCTTTTAATGCCACTAGGACCAGTTTGAGAGTCACTGGACCTCTGTCGCACAACAAATCTGTCCATAGAGCTCTGTACCTCCTGTTCCTTTAAGACTTTCCTAAAATGGGCCATAACATTGTCATTGTACAGGTTGCCAACACGGCTTGCAGTAGTTGTGTCAGGGTGATTTTCATCCATAAAGGTTTGCAGTTCAACCCACTTTGCACACATTTCCTTAATCTCTTTTCTCAATTCCATGCTAATGGAAGTAATTTTTGCCACAGGGATGGCACTAGAAGCTTTCTTGGGGTCCATGACTTATTTGCAGTTACAAGCACTAAAAACACTGGGATAATGTGAAATGTACCAAATGTATATGTAGATGCGACCGCACTGGGTGGCTTGTAAACACTGGTGCTGAGGCCACACATGGGATGCGTCCTGGACGAATCGCATAAGATGAGGCAAAATTTTTGCATTCAAATGCTTCGTATGGCGGATTTAACGTAACGCGATGCGTTCGTGAGGCGGGGTCCACTGTATAGACAAAAGTATGTACACTGTACAACAATAAGTATTAGTGCATGCCACAGTAATCAAGGAAGAATTGAAGCCAATAGATTGCAGACCACTGTGCTTCAACTAGCTCTCGAATGGAAATAAGGGTGAAAACGTGAGTGGTAACCACGTCACCTCCACAATTGTCAGATCCACCTTCTCACTGGCTGAACCTAGATACTGATCTGACGATGGGGCCCCAATTGTCCAACCCTTAGCATCTAGTTCACTGGTTGGTGAGGCAGCCTATGCAAGTGTGTTAACATGCTCTGAATAAAGATTACATACTCTGCATGCAACAGACAGCAACCCCCCCTTCCCCCATCCTTCAGAGTACATACGCTGTACCTCGTACCACCACCCATCTGTCAGAGTACAGGTATTGTACCTCACACCATCAACCATCCTTCAGAGTACAGGCACTGTACCTTACACCACCCCCCATCCTTCAGAGTACAGGCACTGTACCTCCCATCACCCCCATCCTTCAGATTACAGGTACTGTACCTCCCACCACCCCCATCCTTCAGATTACAGGCACTGTACCTCCCACCACCACCCATCCTTCAGATTACAGGCCCTGTACCTCCCACCACCCCCATCCTTCAGATTACAGGTACTGTACCTCCCACCACCCCCATCCTTCAGATTACAGGCACTGTACTTCCCACCACCACCCATCCTTCAGATTACAGGCACTGTACCTCCCACCACCACCCATCCTTCAGATTACAGGCACTGTACCTCCGACCACCCCCAGCCTTCAGATTACAGGCACTGTACCTCTCACCACCACTATCCTACAGAGTACAGGTATTGTACCTCCCACCACCCCCATCCTTCAGATTACAGGCACTGTACCTCCCATCACCCATCCTTCAGAGTACAGGTACTGT